CTCCAACCCCTTGCGAGGTGGTTTTGGACTGGAGTTTCCTCCATTTTAGAAGAGCGTTTACCGCTTTCCTGACTGTTCCTTCGCTGATGTTCTCGGCGTTTTCCCCAGCCGCAGCGGCATAGTCAGCCATCCGGAGAAAGGAGGGTAGACGGAGCTGTCGGGTCAGAGCGGCGCGTGGATGTGCTCTTGGGCCTAGGGTAAAACAATATAGAGACGCGGGGCTGCAGCGACGTGGACTGGGTTTCGTACTTTCGTTTCTATGGGTGAATCAGTCCCTCCAGAACATAAAACTAATAATCCGTCCGTCCCGGATAAAACTTGACGTTTACTTTTTAGCAGAATATTTTAGGAATTCAATTAATAAAAGAACAAATGACTTTTAGAGAGAATTAATGTTATTCACTCAAATGTAAAAAGTGAATCGGTAGTAAATGGTAGTTAAGACATTTAATGTAAAAAGAGTGGTCTACAAAAGAAACGTAAAGGAGTAAATGAGACATCCAAAAAAGGAAAGTGTAAAGATTTGAAATGGGACGGAGAGAGTACAATAATTCAATATTACACTGAGATGAGACATCCCTATGAGTCTGTTTGCAACAGCTTATACTTAAAAAAATGTTTTTTAATGAAATGGTGAGAAGTGATTAAATACAAGTTGATAGTGTTTGAGAAAAAAGTGATTTTGAAAAGTAAAAGTTGTTAATGTTTGGTAAAATAAGTGCCTTTTGTGTAATAGAAAAGGTAAAAACACTTTTGGCACGAAAGCCGAGAAAAATAAAAGTTGATAGTACTTGGTAAAAGAAATGCATTTTTAATCCAAAAGGTGATAAGTGCTTTTTAAAAACATCTTCAAACCAACCCATAGAATCAATAAGTCCCCAAGGATAGATGATATTCGCTAACTCCGCAATGATGTAGACTAATCTAATAACGCTGCTGAACTTGTTATTAACATGGGAGATAACTAAACATTTTTTTTAGATAAAAGCAACAAAATAAATTGAAGAAGCGGTTCAGGCCAGCTGGTCGCCGACTCACTCTCCCTTATGGGAGGTTCCGTGTTCAATTCTCAATGGAGTGAGATTGATCCCAGTTTAAGAAAAAGCAACAAAATAAATCAAACATCCCGGTTTTACGAGCCACCAAAAAGGGAAAAAAGCTTTGTCCATCAACCTCCAAAGAAAGCATCTCGATTTTATCAGCCACCGAGAAAGGGAGAAGAGGTTTGACCAGCCATCTCTAAAGAAATCGTCTCGTTTACGGGACCTGTTAATATTTTAGGTGGTGTTGTTCCGAGAGCACCGTTGCCTTGCCGTTTTTTGATCTACGGCTATCACCATCAACCTCCTCGATTTACATCCTTTCACAAGCCTGATTTAAGCTCTTCATTAATGGTCAACAAAATGAACGTTGTATCCGAGACACAGGAGAAGATACCGCATAACTCACAATCAAAAGTCCAAAACACGTTCGCAATTGAAACAAATTAACCCCTCTGCCAGAAAATTTAGTCGGACAAAATTCTCGGCAACACATAAACGCTACACTACCACCTTAACCAAAGCACCTCAATGAAGTAGCTCCGAAACGAAAATCGTACCTATACACACAGTCGATTGTCGAGCATCCCCTGTGTAGAATGCGATTCCAGCCCCAAAACCTATCTCTGCGTCATTCGATCGCTAAATGTAAGGAGCCTAGCGGCCGCTGCACACCAGGGTGCATCATGTTTATCTTCTTGTTCAGTCTTCTGAAATAATCTCACTACTCAGGATTACCTAGTATATCTCACTTTTTATTTTAGGTGCCTTACCTTTTCTAATTATCTCAAAATAAGTGTTATTTAAATATGGGAGAAGGCTAAAAAATGACGCTAAAGTTATTTACAAAGTTTGGATAAGACATTAAACTTTAAAGTAGACCAAATAAATACATAATCAACTTATTTGGACTATATTTGGCCACCCACTTATAACTCTATTACACCCATCGTTAACTGCTTATGCCTTTGTACTCAATTCTTTACCGGCTTAGATGACTCCACTCCCGCATCTCTGTTTCACTTCCCCATGGCCAAACAAACCTCTCTTCTATTTTCCTATCAAAATGAGTGAAAATTGTATCTCTTCTATTTCTGATGTGAAGGATCGGACTTCGGAGGGCTGTGAATAGAAACTCTAGACTTTATTCGAAAATTGAAAGGTACCTAGTCTTGTCTGTTTTTTTCTCCGACCAATGGTTAGCAGCTTAGCGCCGTTTTTGTCTTTTGGAGCTTTGGAATGACTCTTGTCATGGTTAGACACAGATTTCAATCTGATGCTTGGCTCTGGTGGCTAGGCAATTGATCGGATTGTTTGGCTCAGTTCTTTTTGTAAAGTATGGCAGATTGGGATACAAGAGGTTGTTGGGGCTAAGGGCGGCGTTGGAAGCTCTGTTGATCCATGGATGGGGATTCTGTTGGAAAAATGGTTTTACAAATTAATATTATGGTCATTAATATTATTTGTAAAAACACCATTTTGAAGTGAATGAGAAATTGTTTCCCGAAAGATAAGTGTGAAATTATATCTCACACGCAAACACCGTCGCCGCCGTCCAGTCGGCCGGGTCGGGTTTCGGGTTAGAGTCTTAAACCGTCCGCCCGAGTATATGGCTTAAAGATAATTCTATTAGTCGCTCTCAATTTTGAATAATGTTTGGCAATACACACATCCTTTGTTTTTAGAAGGAGGGTCACAACATTTCTTTCTAAAGGTGTCTTTTGGGTGTAGAGTCTCCTAATCAGAGCTCTATATATACTCATGATTGCCTGCATTATCATCCGATCCGAAAATTCACAAACAATCATCCATATTCTCTCTTCCTTCGTTGCATCTTTGAGTTCGCCGGAATCCCGTTGGGAGCGAAGAGCCGTTCTATACTGGGAGATGCTTGCTACGTGTGTCGGGCAATAACGTCTTAAGGAAACAACGTTTACGCTGGGCTCGGTTACAAGTAATCTTACGTTTTTTCCTTTATTATTTATTTATTATTTCATTTGCATGCAGAATATTGTACATACGTATAACAAATTCTTGGTGGAGGGAGGATTTGGGGAATAGGCGGCATGTTCGTGCGGATTGAGTAAAAAAATTGAAAAAGAGGCGGGTTCTGTGATACATTTGCTTTGGTGTCTAAAGAATCTCTATCTTTGAAGCTGAAAGTTTTTAGCCCCTCTTGACTATGGGTGGTCTTTTAATTCGAGTTGTTATGCTATAAATTTTGTTTTTGTATTTAAACTGGATATTCTTGTAGTTGTTTTCGCTTTAGGTATTCATTGTATTTTGCATATTATGGTGATCATCCGCAAATGTGCCCATATTTGGCTTATTTGTGCCCATTTTAGCATCAATGAGTAATATTACCTTTTGCAAGGTGGTTAACTTATGGTTTGGTTCGAGAGCTGACGATAAAAAAGGACTTGTTACCATATTGCAGTTTATCTAAATTTTTGTTTTTAATATAAGTCAATTTCTTAAAAAAACTTAAAGTGTAGTGAGCATCACAACATCCTTCCATGTTTCCTAATACTTGGGACATCCTCATTTGTAAGTTTGTTGAAAAATTAATTAAATGACTTATCAGATTATATGAAAGGTTAACAGTGAAGAAAGAGGTTGTTTTAGATTATAATTAAAAGAAAAAATTCACATGAATAATCCCAACTATCAGCATTCTTCCAATATTAATCCAAAATAGTGATAATTCCAATATAATCTCAACTATATTCAGGGGCGGACCCAGGAAGTTTGTCTTGGGAGGGCGGCAACTTAAACAAAATATTTTTTGGGAGGGCGAAAATTATTTTTTATTATATATATACACTAAAAAATTTTGTTGTTGGGGGGGGGGGACCGCCCCCCTGGGTCTGTACTACGGTCCACCCCTGACTATATTGGTAACCTTCTTACATTAAGTCGGTGACCGCCATATACCTATCCAACAGGCCGCCTGTACATGTGTCAATTTTTCATTCGTTTTCATATGTTTTTATATTTTCTTTTTTATTTTTATCTTCTTTCCTTTATTTCGCAGGGCTTAGCCTCTTCTTCTTTGTTGAGTGTCGAGGGTTGCCAACTAAAAAACTAGGAAGATGGCCGGCTGCTGACAATGAAAAAAATGATGAAGGGGTTCCATGGCTTCATCCTCATCTATCTTTCTTCTAGATCCTTCATTCCATCCTACCCATCGTGTTTCTGAGTTCCTTTTCGTCCTTCCTTGAGCCGCTGGGCATCCAATAGTTTTCTGTCAACTGGAAAAATCAAGAAGATGAGAGGTAGCTAGTGTCGGATACAGAGAGAAGGAACAACGGATGGATTCCATCCCATCTAAGCCGCACCGAAGCTCCGTCCCACCCTGCTACTGCTGGCGTGGCTCCAATGAAGAAAAAGATAGGAGAGCGAGGGAAGCTAGATGTGCGGAAGAATTGGGCATTAACCAGTTCTCGATAAATCTTAAATTGGTTCTTAGTCGTCTTCTCCATAGCCATCGTCTCATTAGCTTGGTTCCAGCCATGCGCAATGCTTAGTCCTGCTGGGAGAGAAAGCCTCCGCTTGGCTGTTCATTAATTTTGTTTTTTTCTTTGTTTTTACCGGTTATGCAGGTTCATGGTCACCTGAGATCAATGATAGAAGACCATCACTGAACTTCAGATTATTATCAAATTACGCATAAGTAGGATTAATATAGGAAGAACCATAATAATTGGGATTATTTATATGAATTTTTCCTAATTAAAATACGTTTAATTCATATCTTACAAAAACTAATTATATGAGTATTGTTAGTGATAAATAATTCTAAATTTCGATTGTTTTATTTTGAATGAAATTTTAAGATTGTTAAAAAATGGGTAACAATAATGCGACAATTTTATTATTAATAAATAAGTTTTCTTTCCTAAAAAACAATAATGTAGCATATGGAAAACCTTTAGTTGAACAGTATGAATAGATCCTCTTAACGGAAACTCAAGCTTAACAGAAATGCACGCAACTGGTACAACCCCCCGCCTTTCCGATGGAGGAATATGTACTCCCACCCGCCTTTATTTTTGCACGGTCCCTATCGCTAGATTGATAGATCTCAACTGAAGAACCGAACGAATGAGAAATGACGACTAGTACGGGTACGGGATCGGATGCAGAGGAGAGGAGCAACAAAGATCATGGCTCTCCCAACAATAATGCTCTTTCGCTGTTGAAATCCTTCTTCTCAATCAATGGAAATAAGAGCAAAAAAGTTGCAGACGGAGAAACAGTTGCTGACGGTGATGTTTCGCTTGATCCCCCTTTGCCGTTTCTCTCCACTCTCGCAAATTCTGTCGCGTCTCGCTGCTCTAAGTCAGTAGATATTTCCCAGCACTTACTTTCTAAGTTTATCCCTGATTCAATTGCTTATTCTTTTGGTCTGGTCATCGGATTGCTCTGAGTTCTTCTATAATCATAAATTTCAAGTTGCTAGTGAGACGATATCTTGGCTTTCATGCTTGAAAATATTTTAGTATTAGTTTATTGTTAATGCAGGAATAATTCCATTTGTCATGCGCGGAAATTGATGTGGAACAAAAATTGAGTCATATATCTGTTTACATCACCAGTCCATAGATTTAATATGTTGCCTCATCTCAAAATTGATATATATATTTTCGAAATTTAAAAAGTAGCAAAAACCATGAACATATTGATGCTTTAGTTACCCAAACCATCTTTAGAGAAAAGTGTGTTCAGATTCATTTTATTGTTTTTATTGTAAAAGAATGAAAAGGTTGTAAGTTTGTTTTCTTCTTAAATATGAAGTACTGAAATTGTGAATTGTAATTGTATTGTGGAATGATGGATGTCGATAGTGTCCAGGCTCATCCCTCACATGACTGCATTGGAGGAGACCCCTGCATCTTTTCTCTGCTCCTCTAATAAATAAGCAACCCTCATTTTCTCCTTCACTGAGACATATCTTATCTCGAATGGTGCTCTTTCCAGTAAACCCTTTGACATCACGTTTATCTTCTTTCGCGTAATATCAGAGAAGTTCTTTTTCCATAATGTAATATCTTTGGTTGGTAAACATGCTGAGTTTCTAAAATGTAGAAACCTCAGTGTAGCTCTAACAGTAGCCATTAGGCAAGCTCATTAAATAGCACATACCTCTGCTATATCAGCATCTATATCGCCCTTGGGATGCATCAATCACAACATAACAATATGTTATTAATAAGGTCGACAGACATGTGTGTGGGTGTATGTGTTTTTTGTTTTTTCTAAAGTGTGCCCTAAGGGCAGACAACAATAAGCAATAAATGAGTATTTAATTCTTATTGTTTTTTTAACTACTATTCTTGTGAATGTTGTTAAATGCACTCTGTATTACAGAGTAACCATTCTTGAAATTATTTGACATTTTTGAAACTTGAAAATGAAGCACATTATTATATTTTTATGATGTGCGCAGGGGCACACATTAGAGAAAAAACCCTATATTATATATGCATGTATGTTTGTGTGTACATATGTATATATGTTATTCATACATATTATATATGTATGTATATATATATATATGTACGTATACAGACTGACACACATATATCTGTCTACTATCTTCCGTATCTCTCTCTCTCTATATATATAGAGAGAGAGAGACAGAAACACACACAAAATGACCCGATTGACCCACGAGCCATACCTTCAATCTTTCAATTTCAACAATTTTAGAACCATAATTTCAAGCGACTCCCACAATCATCCCAACCGGGAACCTTTAGTTTTTATTTTGTGAAAAAGGAAAAACACTTCTTTGTACATTTGCTAGTATATTTTGAGCTTTTACAGTGTCAGTCTTAGCCCCAAACTTTTTGGGACTAAGGATTGGATTACTCTACTCCTAGTATTAGTCTGGGCTTCTTTGCAAATTAACATCAGTACATTGCCATCATGCTCAGAACCTTGGCATTAGCATTGCAAGAAAACACACAACTAAACCATACACACAATGACACAAATATGTACTTTCATGCATACATACATGCATACATACATGTATGTATGTACTCAGCAGTTGATTTTTTATTTAGAACTTTTTTGTGGTCCAATCATCTCACCTCTTACACCATTAGGCTCATCATTCTATGGTGGCTCAGCATAAGAAGTTTGACTGGCGTTGCTTCCTACTTTCCAAAAACCTTCTATTCTTTTGGTTGCTGTATTTCAAATACTCAGCCCTAGTCACGTTTGCTTTACCTTTTTGGTAAATAATAGTCTTTTCTTTTCAGTGTCATGCCGTAGAGTACATATGTTGTTGTGTCACATACTCACACGTTGTTTTCAGTTGGTTCATGCTCAGCTTAGATCCTTATGGTTTAACCTTCGCTCCCAAAGGTTGTGCATAATGCTGCGTTCTCCAAGGCTATTCATACCATGTTCCTAATATTCTATAGATGATTTTTATAGGTTTGTCTTATTTAGTTTGGAGTAAGGGGGATTATGTGTGTTAAACTTTAACTTTAAAATTCAGCTCGAGAGTGTTGACATGTAGAAACTTGAACATAATCCTAGGCAGGGTTTGCGCACTATACATCCCATAGTTTTCCTAGATACGCATCTAGGTGAGTATATCACTTTCAGAATGTATCATTAACAGTTGTAAAGTACAAAGTTCTTTATTTCAGACCTTCAATGAGTCAATCCCTCAACTTTTTGACAAATGTTCTGGTTTTGAAAAACTACAGGATCCTTCACATATCTTTGGAAGAATTGCAGAATCGCTTTGATTCAGAGTTGCCTGATAATCTTAAGCAGCCATCGCTCTATGCGAGGAATTTTTTGGAGTACTGTTCATATGAAGCACTCCGTGAGACAACCAAACACACTAATTATTTGTGGGATAATAACTTTCGAAGATTGACGTTTGACATGATGCTAGCTTGGGAGGCTCCAAGTAGAGAACATGAAGTAGTTGAACCAGTAAGATTTTATTAAACCTCTTCTCTCTAGCTGGCTGCCTTTTCGGTTAATTCATGACATAATGCTGCGACTTAGGTGTATTGGTTTAGTTAGTAACTAAATGGTATTTGTTTCATAGGAAAGTTCTACTAATGTTCAGGAAGGGGAGGACGATGGCCGGTCAATTTTTTACTCTAGCTCCACCAAGATGGCTGTTGAGGTTTTTTTTGTTAATCTACACTCCACCCCAAACAAATGTACCATTGTGCATATATCCAATGTTAATCTTTAAAGGCCTTTAGTTTGCACTCTTTTTCTAGACCAAAAAAAAACTTTTGCACCTTGATACTTTTGTAAAAGTGTAGCACTTCGAAATGACTTTTATCGTTAACCCTGTTTTTCATCAGGTTGATGATAAAAAGACTATTGGTGCAGAATCATTTGCACGAATAGCACCAGCCTGTGTTGTTGTTGCTGACATAATAACAGTTGGCAATCTTTTTGTTGCTTTGACGTGTTCATCAGGTCATCGACTTCACTTTCTTGTATACGAAAAGTATCTTCGAAGTCTTGAAAAGTATGTTAGCTCTTTTTTTACCACTTAATTGCCAAGTTACCACTGCTGTTATGCAACTTATTTTTTTATAGAATTCCATCTTAAGGAGAATAACGATCTCATGTTCCACTTTTGCTGCCATATGAGCGATCTCTTATACTATTTTTGTTTGGTGTTATTATTAGTAATCCTTATCTATTACTATTATTACTACTACTATTAGTAGGAAATCAATAGGAAACTAAGGCTTGGATGTTGTTGTTGTTGCTGCTGTAGTTTCCTATTAGTATTATTATTTAGTTGTCCATTTTTATTCAACTTCTTATTTATATTTGTATTCATATTTGTATTTGCACTTGTACTTTCATTTCAACTAGTGCATGGCACCATATATAAAATTATGAGCTGTAATACAATGGTGAGGACTGAGGGCAAATACAAATACAATTATATATTTATGTCTATATATATATATATATATACATTTATATTCAAGTTCATATATGCACATTAGTTTTTATGTAGATGTGTGTAGATATTTTGCAGATCAATTTTGTTACTTTTTTCATGTAAAATACAGTGGTTATATTTTTTTGTTATACATGAACCAGTTTAAAACAGCATGTTATCTAAACACTCAAAAATGATTTTCTGGTTCTCTTTCATCGGTGTCTCACCATATTCTCGTGCACATGGACATCTTTGATGATGATTTTTTTAGAATTTTCATCTCATATTCTTTCTTAAGAAGGTTTCAACGCGAAGGGCATCCGGCATAAAACATTGCTAATGTGCTGCATTTTGCATGGATTTATAGTAGTAAATAATTCATGCAATCAACTAGTACTATAAACTTCAATGCAACCAATCCAACTAGTTGAGATTAAAGTATTGATAATGGTGATGATTGATGATGAGTAGAGTTATATACTTATAGTGGTTTTTCCTTTGATGCACCAAAAATAGATATGATGAATGTTCAAGTTTTCTGATGGAAATATTCTTACTTTCGTCTGCACTTCAATAATAGCTTCAATGTTAAAGTGTTAAACAATGTGTGAATTAGGCTAAGCAGTGATCCATTAATTTGTTATCCCACATGAGTGTTTTTCTCATTACAGGGTGATAAAGGCTGTAAATGCAGTTGCTTCTCATAACATGTCCAATCTTTCGCTTATGGAGGATGAGGTTATTTTAGATGTAGATGGAATAGTTCCCACACAACCAGTATTCCAGCATATTGGACTATCTGCTTGGCCTGGTGAGATGTACATACATGCATACTACGTACATTTATATAGGTGTACACACAAAAACCGAAATAAAGATAACAAATGGTTTTTAGATGTACACATTAAAAACATTTAGATGCTGGAACTCATTGAAAACACCTTAGATAAAGTAATTGTATGCATCAACAACATTTTGCTATACAATTTTGCTACTATTACGCAGTGATCTTAGTCTCTTTAAATTTGATGCTGGTGTTTGTTTGAATTGATAGCCACGCGTATGATGCTCTTTCTATACTTTAAAAGTGGTCTTTCTACGAGAGAATCACGGTTAATAATTTAATACATGCCATACAACCTGAAGGGGCCATGATCCAAAGGGATTGATATGCTCAAGAAATTTTATTTTATTAGCTAGGCTCATTGATTAGTTAAAACAATGAGATTATTGTTTAGGTTAATAGTTAGCCTTCATTATTAGTCCTCGTCCCATAAAAACTGTCTTGTTTGACCAAGGTACAACTTATTTATATTTGGCAAGGTACCACAATTATGTCATTTGTGATATTAATATTTGAAAAGCTTTTTTGATAGTTCAACTAAAATTTTCACATTAGACTTGTTCGTGTTAAGATGTTTTTACTTGGACTGTTTCTTGCACAGAACAGACCAGATTTGGACAATTATAAAATACATAGAGATCAGACATTTACCAGACCAAACCAGACCAGACTAGAAAATTCCAGTCCAAGTAAAACTGTAAAAACATCCTTATTCTTTTTTGGCAAATTACTTGAATATTTGTTTTCATTTTGATAAATCATGTCTCTTCTTTTGGCAAAAATGCTGATGTAACAGACTCTTTATTTTGGATAGAGGGAATACTTATTATATTTGATCTATACTTAGTTATTAGTTTTTGTATAATACATTTTTTACTGTTGAAGATTATTATTGTTGGCATGTTGCTAACTGTTGTTATACTTATCTGTTGCTTATAATTAGTGGGCAAGTCTTATTAGATTTATGTAGGATTTGCCAAATAGCCATGTAAGCACGTTGGGAGCTCAGATTGTACACATGGGGAAGTGTATGTCAAGTCTTTTCATACTAATAATATTTGATGCTATCAACATCTTTATAATGTTTTGTCTCCAATGAAAAAAAGACACTGCTATATCAGAATTGCAGGGATTGATTGGGTTTATAAAGGAAAAGCTTAAGTGATTAACACAAACTTCTCACCATGAATTTATCAGTAGATGTACAACAACTACAGGATACACTTACGAAGTTAGTTGCTTTGAATGATATTTGACCAGGATTGTCTCATGTTTACTGCTTTACTCTCTAAACATTTTGAAAACATTAAATAGATGAATTCTCAACATTTCAAGTATATGATTGCAAGTTCGTATTCTGCCTACTTGTTTAAGAAAACTGCTCCTATCCTGCATCTACCAACTTGTTCATTGCATATTTACATGCAACATCTGATATATATTTGATTTTGCTTTCGCTTCCCATCAGGACGGCTTTCTTTGAGTAATCATGCTCTTTATTTTGAACCTGGAGTTGGTTTATATGACAAAGCTCTGAGATATGATCTGGCGATTGATATGGAACAGGTTATCAAGCCTGAATTAACTGGACCACTTGGCGCTCGCATTTTTGATAAAGCAGTGATGTACAAGTCTTCATCTATGTGAGTTCAATGATTACTTTGACATTTTCTATGCCAGTCATGAAAGACTTCTGACTCTAATCTTCTACAGGGCTGAACCTGTATGCTTTGAATTCCCTGAATTTAAAGGAAGCTCAAGGCGTGACTATTGGTTGGATATATGTCTTGAAATTTTACGTGCTCATAAGTTCATTCGCAGATATAACCTCACTGATTGCGCGAGATTTGAAGCTCTTGCTCGTGCACTTCTAGGGATTCTTCGATATCGAGCAGTTAGAGAGGCTTTCCATGTTTCTCCATCCAATTACAACACCCTGTTGTGCTTTAACTTGGCGGAAAGTCTTCCAGGTGGTGATGCTATATTGGAAACGCTCTCAAATCATTTGGTAGTCATGACTTCTGCTGGCCTTCGTCGTAGTTTTCTTGGCTCTCCAAAAGCTACAAAACAGGCCCCAGTTTCACACTATATGCTTCACAGACTTGGAATTCTTTCATTGAAGGATGTGGTCATGGAAGATGTAACATCTGAAGCTGGTATTGCTTGTGTTGGTGAAACACATCCTCTGGAAGTTGCAGTCAAGATGTCCAGAAAGGACATAGGGAGAGCTGAAGCTGCACAAGAAACTATTGATCGAGTTAAAGTGGAAGGCATTGACTCCAATTTAGCAGTAATGCAGGTTGCGTAAAATCTAATTAATTAATCTCCATCGTGATTCTTGCTTTTCATGTTGTTATCCTTCAGGACGTATTGATCCAGATGCTGGTAGCTATTAAAAGATACTTAGTGGATATTGTAGCTATATTGAAGAATATATCGAATTAGATGTCTAAGATTATCTGGAGGAAAAAAGTTGAAACTAAAACGTGTTTAACATTGTAGCCTTGTATGAATTCATGGTGTACTTGCATTTTGCAAACATAATATAATAGTCTTTACAACAACAAAAAATACAGTCTTTACAAATTTTGTGCAAGCTATTCTGTATACTAGGAGGAAATTTTTTTGTGCACTATTCTTCCAATATCTTGGAGTAAACTACATAACGAAGCAGTTGGAACTACGTAAAAGTGCTCTATGAATAAAGCAACAATTATTATGACCTAATGACAACACGGTTCTAGTACACTGCGTATTGTTAATTGGTATTGGCATTGAGCTTACTGTTGATTACTAGATTATTTCCACTTCACTCATGTAGTCATGGGGAGGATAAGTCAGCTTCTTTTCCGTTACAGGAATTGCTTTTTCCTCTTATTGGATTATTAAATCACCTTAAATATTTGGCATCGTGGAAAGATCCCTGGAAATCAGTGACATTTCTGATGTGTATTTGCTATGCTACAATCAAGTAAGTGTTGTTGCCTATATCGTAACCACACTCTTACTATATTTGTGTTTCATCTTTTTATGCCTTTTCAAAACAGACTAGTATTATTAAATATTTGATTATCAAAATAGACTAGTATTATTAAATGCCAGAAAAGTGTTATATGTTATGTTTGTTAGCTAGCTTTTAGGTGAGCTATTGTTATGAACTTATGATCAATGTGTAAAGTCAAAAGCCTCATCACAAGTAGTACTATTTCCGCTATAAAAATACATGTATATATTACCTTTTTATCTGATGTAATGATGATGATAATCTGATGTAAAGGCATTTTATTTTTGTCAAAGCTTAAAAAGATTCAATTTGAGAAGAGTAAATATAAACATGTTTGGGAGATTAGCACAAAATATGCATTGAGCTCCTGATATGAGAATTCTTCTGGGACAAAAAAATGGCAAAACGACAATTAATGAGGGAGTAGTTTGTTATTCCATCAGTTGTTTGAGGTTCCAAATTATATATTTAAAAAATGAAACCTGTTTTTGATATAACACGCAAATATCCACAGCAATAACAAGGTAATACAAATGGAAATGGAGAAAGAGGCCTCTTATGTCATGAATTGTGGTCATCTTTGGCAAAGATGATTACCGAGTGCCATCAAACGTGATTTATAATGATCAATTATGCCATCAGATCTAACTTTGACCGAATACACCCACTTGGGTCCTAGAGGAGTGATATTAGGAGGACAGGACACAACATCCCATGTCCGATTAATTTCCAGAACTCGCAATTCTTCCTGCATTGCTTCTTGCCAACATTTATGTTTGGCAGCCTGTGAATAACAAGAGGGAATAACAACAGATGCTACTGTAGCAGCAAGAGCATCCACAGTGCTCGTATCCTCAAGAGGAAGCTCTGGCAGATGACAGGGAGGGAGGTGACAAAGAGTCTGGCGGACGGTGTCTTGGATACACTATTCCTTTGAACCTAGTGCTAAGAGGAGTAGGAGGACTAGAGATACTTTCAAACGTAGGTAATATGGCAGAAGATGAGTTATTGGTAAAATAAGTATGATAGAAATACTGATTTTCAAAGAATATAACATTCCTGGAGACTCGCAACTTGTTTTCTTGCGGATCAAAACACATGAATCCATTTTGACTAATGTTATATCCTAGAAACACACAAATGACACGATGAGCAGACTGGGCAGAAAGTTTATGGTGTTCTGTGGGCGGAAGATGAACAAAACACACACAACCAAAAGGGTGACACTGGATGACGTTTATGGAGACGGAAATAAGGTGATTCAAACTCCAAGACCTGTGATGGAAGTCGGTTTATTAGGTAAACTGTTGTAGACAAAGCTTCAACCCAAAATCGAGTAGGAACTTTGGATTCTATGAGTATGGTTCGAACAATATCAAGAAGATGGCGATTTTTGCGTTCCGTAATGCCATTTTGTTGAGGAGTATAAGGACATGATCGTTGAGATAGGATTCCCTTGGATTCAAGAAATGTTTGAAATTCATGAGATATATACTCCCCACCAGAATCAGTACGAAGAACTTTGATACTTGAGGAAAATTGAGTTTCTACAAAGGCAAGAAAATTTTGAAATGTTCTGAAAACATCAGCCTTCGATCGAAGAAAATATATCCAAGTGTAACGACTAGAATCGTCAATAAAGGTAACAAAGTATTTGTGATGAGAACGAGACACAACAGGAGAAATTCCCCAAACATCACTATGAATGAGCTCAAAACAATGTGAAGCACGACTACCATTAGATGGAAAAGTAATAACTTTGTTTTTGCCTAGTTTGCATGATTTACAGTCAAAATGAGAAAACATATTCTCTTTATTACCAAAAGACCAAGACGTAACAAATGAGAAAGAACTCGAGGATTCGGGTGGCCAAGTCTCCTATGCCACACCGATCCTGAATTTAATTACATGCAAAAGTAGAAACTGAGTTATATCTAGGAAAGTGTAAAGGAAAAAGACGTCCAAACCTAGGCCCCTTCCTATTAGCTCCCCTGACACTTGATCCTGCACAAGACAACCATCACAAGAGAATTTCACGTCACATTTATCATCAAGAAGTTACCCAACAGAGATAAGACTTGTAGATAATTTGGGACAAACAAATACATCTTTAACCCGATGAGAAATATCACCAATTGCACTAATAGGCAGCTTATTACCATTGACAGTTTCAATAGATAAAGAACCATCATATTTGAGAATATTATTGAGTCCATGTACTGAATGTGTCACATGATTGGAGGCTCCAGAATCTAGAAACCAATTAGAATAGGGTAAAGAGTTACCTTGAATTCCCAATGCTGAGAAAGCAGAAATTTGATCTGCTGTACCATTTTAGGTGTAATAGAAGTGGCAGAAGTAGAGACAGGAGTATTTGACATGTTTGGAGAAGTGACCACAGCTTCTGTCCTGATATGCGAAATTTTCCTATGGGGTGGACGAATGGAGCAATCTTTGATGATATGTCGGAGCTTCTTGCAATAACAGCAAACTTTATTAGGGCAATATTGCGCAATGTGAACGTAATTCTTGCAAGAATAACACTGTGTGGCACTCATAACTCTAGAGTGAGACTTAGCTTGAGTGACATATGCAACAGGAGAGTGACCTTGTTCCAAGGTAGCCTGGGTAAGTAGATGCTGCTCTTCACGAAGGAGTTCCCGAAGGCAAACTTCCAGAGAGGGAACTGGATTCCTATTCAATAATGAGGACCGAATGTTTTCAAACTCAGAGCGCAGTTTCATGAAGAACTGCCTGCGCTGTCGGGCTTATAACATATCCCGAAGAGGCTTAACAGCAGTTTCAGGCCCGTCAACTAGGCATAAGTCGATAAATTCAGTCCAAAGTGCTAAAAGACTGGAATAGTATTGCTGAACAGTTAAGGAACCTTGTTGAAAGTTAGAAATACCCAACTCCAACTGAAATTGATGGGCTTTATCAATGATGATAAACTTGTGCAGATAAACCCACATGGCTTTAGCTGTGCGATGGGGGCGTAGGTAAGAATATTATGAGGATCGAGTGACCCTAATATCCAACTGCGAATTTGAGCATCTTTCACCACCCAAGTTTCATCCTGAGTGGCAGAATTCTGTGTGGAAGAATCATCCACGTGAGCCCACAAGTCCTTTCCTTTCAGAAAGGTTTCAAATTGAAACGCCCAAGTAACATAATTCTTGTGATCAAATCGAACACACAAGTTTTCTAGTTTATCCATGATAACTACAAGAGAACGGAATAAATCTGAGAAAGAAATTTGTTGATCTGAGATAGAAGATAGCTGGAACTAAGTGCTGAGATGACAGAATTTGAGAGGAAACCCTAGGTTTGTGTTTAAAACAAAAAAAACTGAGACGTCGAGCAAGAACTCCAAGAACAAACCCAGGAGAATTTTAGGGTTTTTGTTAAAAAATAACTGCTGAAAAAATGCTTATGGCTCTGATACCATGTCACGAATTGTACCAGAAATGATTAAATCAGGAACTAAGAACTGGGAATTCTGGAAAACTTGAGCTGCCCTGCTCAGCCATTTATTTACACTTATATAGGCAACATGTGAATATATGTACAAGGAAACAAATCAAGGGATTCTTACAATTAATGCAAGATATCTTTCCACTCAATGCCTAATAAAATCTTCCTATAATTACAAAGATTCAATAAGATAACAAAGATATTTTTCTACTGATTCCCTGATTGACATCTTATTCACAAAAAAAAGTAATCGGCAATTTGAGAGTGCCGTGCTCTCCAATTCTAAACTGAATTCCAGCCTATCTCCTCTCTCCTCTCACTAGACTATTTATTCCCTTTATAGTGGTCCTCCCTGCTCAGCTAATTAGTTACGCCCCTATTCCCCCTTTTAGCCCTCCTGACATACACCTTAGAGAAATCCCTATTAGGATTAATATTTAAATCACCCAAAGTCCTAACAGTTTTTGTTATTTGGCAAGAGGCAAACTCTATAACTGTCACAATAAACCTCTTAAATTGTAGCTCTATTCTCTGTATTTTGTTGTCTACTGTACAGTAGCCACATTGTTGGTAAATACACTGCCCTCAAAATTGTCACTGCATTTTTCTCAGAATCATGGCATGTCCGAACGACTAAAACTCCACTGCCAGCTGCCTCCGCATGACTAATCATCCAATTCTGTTCCTCATCCACCGGGGACCTCTGTCTAATTTACTTACAGAGTATTAGATCGTGGAAGGTATATTTTCCGAAATTTGTTTTGCAAAGAATGACTAAAGTGAAACTCGGTCGACTAGACATACCATATAAACAAGGGATTTAATAACTACTCCGTATGTTATTTATTCATCAAAGTTGAAGCACACCAAAAATAAGAAAAAGGAAGTAATCAGAAGTGCACCCGGTCTACGTGAAGTTAACAAATAGTTCGGTAAAGTCGAATATTAGAAATTATTCATCTAGTGATATGCAAAGTTTAAGTGACGTAGAAATTATTAGAGTTTGGTAAAGTGAAATAAACCTCACTAGTGTGATGCAAAGTTGAAGTGTAGTGAAGTAAGTAACGTGAACTAAGTAATGTAATGTAAAGTGGAGGATCTCAAATACTTGATGGAGCATCAATTCAGTTCAAGAAGAGTTTAGTTGAAGTTTATTTTAAAAAGTTTCAAGTTTGTTCATGAAGTTATGAAGCTTATAATGCTCCCTGGATTTTGGGGATGTTAAAGTATAGAAACTCTAGGGCTAGGTCATTGCACTTAGGATCCGTCAGTTTCAGTTATGATAAAAGCTGTGGTCAGAAGACTTGATCAATAAAAGTGGCAGTTTGTTTTTAATATATTCCTTAAAAAATGTGACCAAAGTAGAGGAAGTCAGCACGAAATCTCTTAGGAGTTCCATTGCTTGCTCGTGGGTTCCAGTTTCTTGGGGTGTGTAACGCATCTTGTTTTCAGTTCCACCAAGTTGTTTCACATCACCTCCGAATGTGACCATCTCCTAATCATTTTGGGGAACAAGAACAAGTGAACAGGATTTTGAGTTTCTAAAAGTGATTGGTAAAAAGAAGAGGGAGGATAGAGAGGTGTCAAGGCTGGGTTTGTAAGGGAGGCGATGGGCAGTGGGAGGCAGAGAGGGGTGGTGGTTTGGTAAGGGTAGGGGTAAGGTCTGCATACACCATTACACCATTCTTCTGATTGGGCCAAGTGGATTTGTTGTGTAAGGGTACTCAAGAGGAAATACTATGTACGCCTAAATCAGCCACTAAAGACCAACAACAACAACAACCAAACCTTAGTCCCAAAAGAGTTGGGGGTCAGCTGAGATGAATCGACATATGACATCAGATTTAAAAATAATGCATAGAGAGAAATGGAGACTAACAGGGTCAGATCAATCCTCCACGTGTATACTCTTTCTCCACTTCTGTCTCTCTAAATTCACTGATAAATCAGCCACTATACAACAACAACATCCAAGCCTTAATCCCAAAAGATTTTGGGGTCGGCTAACATGAATCGATCCGTGATATCAATGCCACTATATAGTACAAAACTAAAATGGTTGAAATTTTGATCACGCGCTTCAAATCAGTCATATTTAGGGTTTCAAAAATTAAATGTACGCTTTATCTGTAGTCTTTCAATTTAGATTCCCTATAGTAGTGCCCTTCATTCCTCTGGTTATTCAGGACAGAGCTCTTGGTAGTTTCCTTATCAATTGAGATGGAAGTGTCATGAAATCGTTTTATATTGGCTAAATGAACAAAGATTTGTTTAACTTGGCTTGTAGAGTCTGAACTCTGAAGATGTGTACCAAATAGAGCTGTTGGTCTGAAGATATCCCTCATTTCTACACTTTTACTGTTTTCCTAGCTTGGTATATAGGATATCCTAAAAGCATTCACTTTTATATTTAGGGGATGTATTACTTATGTACTGCCCAGCATAATGGTATTGTTTGCGGTGGCGATGCTCTGGCGCAGACTTGCACGGAAGGGATCAACATTGGAACCATTGAAAGTCAACACTCCCCCACCTAAAAATGCAGTGGAGCAGCTATTAACATTACAAGAAGCTTTCGCTCAAGTGGAGGCACTTATTCAAGGTGGCAACATTGTTCTACTGAAAATACGGGCTCTCCTATTTGCTGTTGTTCCTCAGGTACTGCAATCACATTCTTTCTATTACATGAGGTTATGTATACATAGCTTTATCTGCATAAAAACATTCTATTTAATGAGTGTTTTTAGAGTTAATAGTAGCTGCCTTCCAGGAATCCCATGGAGCCAATTTACTTATGTAACAGATTTTGGTAGTATAGAAGGAAACATATCCCAGGATTCTTCTCAAAGGAAATAAAACATTATCTACCATTGTATCACTGTAATTAAGAAAGATATATTTGTATTTATTAGAGTAATTATGTTAGAATATTTCCTTATAGAATAGCTCCCTTATTGTATTAATACCACCACAGATCAGTGAAAATAATCATCCAAATCATTCTGAAAACTTCTTTCTTAGACTCTTTTATGGTATCAGAGCCGTAGAGCTTTCACCAGCCCCTCTTCCTTGGCTGGTGGTGGAAACATAGCCACACGCCCAGAGGGCTTCCAGGAACAAGAAGACCTGAAAACCCCTCTCACTATCCAATCTATACCCACTCCAAACACCTTCCCTACCTCTGTTAACAACACTTTAACACCCGACGGACTGATCATGCTCAACACTAGATAGTTCCCAAAAAATTAGATGGGTCGAATTACCTGATTTGGTGAGACCAAGTTCTTGATCTTCTGTTTGGTTCACACTTAAATCAATATATCGAAGAGGATGCTGCCCCTGCAGCCGGCAAGTGACACGGTCGGTCACCTCCTATGGACCAGACAGGATTGTCCTCTACGCCACACATTTGTCTCTTTCTCTTTGTGCTTATGCCGACGCAGACTGAGCCGGCAATCCGGATGATGGATCTTCTACTAGTGCTTATGTAATTTTTCTCGGTGAGTCCCTCATTTCTTGGAAGTCCATCAAGCAACGCTCCATTGCTAAATCCTCCGAGGAAGCAGACTACCGCGCATTGTCCACCGCTGCAACTGAAGTTCTATGGATTCAGTCTCTTCATGAATTACGACATCCATTGACGTCTCCACCTGTCCCGTATGACAACAAAGGCGCCACTACCTCTTCAGCAAATCTTGTCTTTCACTCCCGTATGAATCATGTAGCAATCGACTTTCATTTTGTTCGTCAAGGAGTTCAACGGGGACTTCTTCATGTTCTTCATATTCCTTCTCATGCTCAACTGGCTGATTCACTTAGTCCCTTACCAAACCCCTTCCACGGCAGCCCTTCGCTCTTCTCAAAGACAAGCTCAGGATTCTTGGGAGTGACCGAATACATGACTTGAGGGGGTGTATAGAAGAAAACATATACCAGGATTCTTCACAAAGGAAATAAAATATTCTCTACCGTTATATCACTCTAATTAGTGAAAAATATATTTTTATTTATTAGAGTAATTATGTTAGAATATTTCATTATAGAATAGCTCCCTTATTGTGTAAATACCACCACAGATCACTGAAATAATCATCCATTTCATTTTGAAAACTTCATCTTTCTTAGAATTTTTTTGGTTGCAGCCAAGAATTCCTAGATTTCCTAGAAACCTTTCCCCCAGTCTTCTATCATTTATCATATGTTTCTGAACTCTCGACGTCCTAATAGTTTTTTCTATAATCCATGTTATCTTAGTTGTATGTCAACTCTTTTTTAGATTTCTAAGTAACATTACAACACTTTATTCTCTATACTAGAGCACTTACACCCCTTGATGACAAACATCCCCAATGTCCCAACCGTCGTGGTCATTCCCCCCTTCACCTTATATTCAATTGCTGCTATACCCACTTTTGGATTATTGTTTTGTTATGAATTCTATCTTTTCTAATACTAGCACAAACCATTTTAACGGACACATCTTGACTACACATCCATTGTGATGCGTACGATACATTTACTGTTATGAGTTCTAAACCATATTTTCAGTCTTGGACGCACATTATGATCAGTGTAATGATGTCTCTCTTCTCCATTTTAACCAATATCCATTGGTTATGTGTATCTGGACCAATAGTATGTTTGTGTGTGTTTGAGATCTCCAAGTATGTGAAACAATCAAAGGCTAATATTTCTATACCATTTAGGATGTTTTTACTTGGATTGAAATTTTCTGGTCTGGTATGGTAAATGTCTGGTCTTTGTGTATTTCATAACTATCGAAGTCTGGTCTAAGCTAAATTGGTCTGATATGGTCTGATCTGGTCTGGGACTAAAATAAGTTCAAGTAAAAACATCCTTAGTGTTATGCGATAAAATCATTACAATATTTGGGACTGCGTGATTAGTCAAATATGAATTTTCCAACCTGTTAAATTATACTCCCATTTGCTTCTGATCATCACGACCCACTCTTATGTTTTTAGGGTCTTTATTAAATATTAGTATATTACTATTGGAATTTTATAAACTAACCTGGAGTATATGTCATTTCCATTTCCATTTCCATCTCATACATTCTTGTAGTCTTTATTAAATCGACACTATCCTTGACGAGTTAGTTTACTTCCTTTATATTATGTGCATTGACTTGGTTGTCTAAGAATTCCGGCATTGGTTTTGAATTGGCATGCTTCTATCTGCAGGCAACTGATAAGGCCGTACTCCTTTTGCTGTTCCTTGCTGTGGTAATTGCTTTCGCACCCCTCAAGCAGGTGATGCTGATTTCATTCTTGGAGCACTTCACAAGGCAGATGCCTTTGAGGAGAAATAGCAGTGAAAAGTTTATTAGGAGGATTAGAGAGTGGTGGAGCAGGATACCAGCAGCCCCTGTTCAGCTTATCAAACTGGATGATAAAAAGAGAAAGTGATGGTTGATGGATTATATATTCGGCAGCCAGTGAGATTTCCTGATGCTGGTGTTCTGTAGATGTGGTCCAGTCCTCTTCCTCTACCATTGCTCGAACTCTACTAATTTTTAGGTTTGAGCTTTGTTCTTGTTAGGGGTGGGCAAATCGGTTCAGTTTGACCGAACAAAACTGAACCATATGCAATACGGTTTGAATTTGGTAGTATTTCTTCCAAACCAAAGTAAACCAAACCGAACCGGAACCATTGAAAACTGAATAAAACCGAACGGCACTAAAATACTTGATAAACTCTTGATACATTTTTAAAAAAAATAACAAATCCAACTGAACAAACCCGAGTCGAACCAAACCAGAACATAGTATGGTACACCTTTCTTTGATAATCTTTCTTCTGGCCCGTTTTAAACCGAACTGAACTGAACCCGATTTTTATACCCCTTGTGTTTTGCTTAACTAATTCAAACCACGACATTCTGAACATGATGAAAATGGTTTTGCTAATATTTTGTGTACAACTTATTCAAGAACCTCTAGCTTAAAAAAGGCTATAAGCAATATCAGGTGAACTAGCCACAGCTTCAACAGAAATTTATTTCTAAATGCTACGTCTGCATTTAGCGGTGGACAAGAAAAACTACAAATGGAGACGTATGACAAACTGTTCAAAAGCTGAACTGACCAACACTGGTGTAACTAGGTGTTTCAAACTATGGTTTAACGTTTATGCTTTCAAAATCGTCCAAAAGTAGTGATGGGCTGGGTCCGGCATTGTTTGGAATCGGCCCGGCCCGGTGGCCCGTCAAAGCCCGGTTCGGGTAGGCCCAGAGGTTATGTTGGGCGGGCTCGGGTCACCCCGACCGGCCGGGCCGGGGCCGGTTCGAGCTTTTTTTAATTTTTTTTTGTTTTTTCAATTTTTTCCCCGGGTTGGGCTGGGTGTTTTGGGGTGGTTTGGAGGGTCGGGGTTAAATAGAAAAGCAAAAAAAAAAAATTGGTCCGGACCCGGTGGATAACCGGGCCGGTTCCGGGCCTCAACTATCTCCCAAAAAGCCCGGTCAGTCCCGGGCCCGGTCCATGCCTATCCAAAGGTATCAAAGAACAGCTTTACATGGACAAAACTGTTTCATTTCTAAAATATTATTCATCCACACTTAATGTAATCTATTTAGGTAGATTCTATGGTACCCATAAGATAGCATACCTTTGTCCACATGGACCAATGAGAATGAAGTAGTTGAATTATTAAAATCTAAATTAAAAATGATAAAGTGATGTGGTTCAATCAAATGAATGATACATACGGTACCCCATATTTTAGAAAGGTACCGGAGTTGTCACCAATTTTTTGTACTTTTAATATAATCAAACAAGTTGTAAAGCGGTTTAATGCTTTACAATAGGTTTTGTCATTTTGTCTGTATTTTAATAGACAAATAAGCATTCAAATAGCATTAAAATATAGACAAATTAATGATTCAAAAGTGGATGAATCATATTTTCGATATCATTACGGTTCATCCATTGATGTCATTACGCTTCACTTTAGGAAACTTTTGTTAAGTGGAGAGTTGTTAGCTATTAGAAAAGGAGATCAAATGCTCCACCTAAAATTCTCGATGAACATCTTTCGGTTGCTTCACCGATATTTAATGAACATAATAAGAAACTGTATGATAATTATTAGCAAGTTGTTTGATATGGTCAGGTCAAGTTTTAAAACGGGCAAAGATTTGGGCTCTAATCAGTAATCAGTAATCACCCACCAGCTAATTTCATTCACTTTTAAATAGCTGTATTGTAATATAACCGGTAAGCAAATAGAACAAGCCTAATACAAAGATAATTGTTTTAACTGATTGAATTGAATATACTACAAACCAAACAATTAAGTTCAACAAAACTAATTAATATTTGAGGACGATTCTCTAATTCCAAATACAAACCCACAAAACAGTGATAGACGGGATTTGTACTATTCTTTGCTAATAATTAATGATCAAAGTTGTGTGTTGATAGACGTAAAGTATGGAACTACTCCTCTCTTCCTTCTAATATTATTTCATACTTCGTATTTCATATTCTATTCGTTCCAATAACATTTCATATATTTTGAACAACATTTAATAAAATTTGTGTGATTCTAAATCATTCTTGTTTTATTTTTACTTTATCAATTCAATATTAATTACAAAAACTCAATTCCCTTAATAATCGTGTCACTCCTTATGTTTCAATGTTAGTGATAAACAAGAAAATGAGTATATACAATAATGTTTACAATTGTTGATATGAAAATGAAATTTCAAATATCAGGTGAAAAGTGAATGTTGTGTACCCGATAAATAGGCACTCGTACGTAGAGTAGAACAAAAAAAATGTTTTAAAACATCACCCATGCATCTTTTTTATGCAAATAACGACAACATCTTTTAGTGATTGATTACTACAGTTCGTCAATTCGGCATAGTTGGATCAATCATAGACTCGTAATGTACACATACTTGTCCCTAGATTCGGTTAAACCCAAATGAGAATCGAAATTGCAGTGTTTCTAATTTGAAACGGAGTTTTAACTTTTTAACCATTAACTACAACCGATTTGCCAAGTAACTTTTTAACCATACTCTCAAAGAGAAGATCACAAGTTAAAGGATTTGGCCTTAACAGAACAAATATTATATGTTAGAAATATTTGCCAAAAAAACTACAACCTATTTTATATTATTATTATTATTGTACATATTTATAACAATTAGAGATATTGATTCTTCTAATAATTTTTGGGACCCTTTTATTAAAATATTTTTAAAAAGCAACTAAAGTTTACTACGTATTATTTAACAAAATTGGATTGAATTTGATTGAGGGGAGTTGAATTTTCTACATCAAGAATCAAGATAACAAAACTTTGCGCTTAACACGATCAAGCTTTGTGTTAATTTGTTTCGTGGTTGAAGTTCCTCAAAAATTGAAATCGGATTTCCCGATACTGTGAAGTTCTAGTTCTTCAAAATTTGGAATTATGAACCAGTTTCAACTACGATTCTGGTTCCCTTCCGAACAATGAACACCCTATCCAGTATCTACACATGCGCTGGTCTAGACATGAGCTTGGCACATTTTGTCTCTATTACGGATTTCTTAATATTGTTATAAAATATTATGGATTTTATAAAATATTGTTATAAAATGGAAGGAAATAAACAGAAGATCAGGGACAGAAAGTATAGTATGAACATTTATTAAGGAGGAAATAAACACAAGATGTGTATTAGAGATGTTCTAATGGTTTGATAAAGGAGTTCACGTGATGGGTTAATTACAATGGAGAAGACTCCTATTTATATGAGAAAAGCTAAGCTACTTAGGATTAGAGGATAATTGTGAACCACACAATTATCATCATAGAATTATAATTATGATTTCCTAATTATTTATATAATGGTGATAATAATTCCTAATCAAGAATAGTTGGAAGATGACTAATTCAATTATGTTTCAACACTCCCCATTGAATGGTCATCTTCTAATTGTTCTTGGATATTAGTTTCATACTATTATAATGTACTGTCTCGTTAAAAACCTTTGTCAGGAAAAATCCAGTGGGAATAAAAACGTGATGAAGGGAAAACGAGTGCAGTGCATTATATTACTCCCCCTCAATTCAACATATATCTCGAATACGACACATTCCGATTTTGTGGACTAGTTCTTCGAATTTGTTCGATGTCAATGACTGTGTGAATAAATCAGTAGGGTTGTCGCACGACTTGATTTGTTTGATATCAAACGTACCGTCTTTCTCAAGATCATGTGTGGAGAAAAGTTTTGGTGCTATATGCTTTGTTCTGTCCCCTTTGATGTAACATCCTTTGATCTGAGCTATACATGCTGTATTATCTTCATAAATCACAGTAGGATTACAAGTAAAAGATTTTATACCGCATTCATTTTGTATGTGTTGGATCATTGATCTCAACCAGACACACTCAACATGCTTCATAAAGAGCAATTAATTCTGCATGATTTGATGATGTTGCAGTTAATGTTTGCTTCATTGATCACCATGAGATAGTGGTATCACCATAGGTGAATAAATATCATGTTTGTGGTTTTTCCTTTTGTGGATCAGACAAGTATCCAGCATCGCCGTAGCCAATTATAGTGGCATTTGCACCATTCTTGAAATACAATCCAAGATCGATTGTACCATTGAGATAGTGGAATATATGTTTGACGCCATTCCAATGTCTTCTTATCGGGAAAAAACAATACCTGGCTAATAAATTTACAAAAAAGCAATAGCCGGTCATGTATTATTAGCCAAATACATTAATGCTCCAATAGCACTCAAATATGGTATTTCGGGACTAAGGATTTCTTCATCATCTTCACAAGGTCGAAAAGGATCATCATGCACGTTGAGAGATCGAACCACCAATGGAGAATTGAGCGGATGTGCTTTATCCATGTAAAATCGTTCAAAAGTTGCTCGGTATAATTTGATTGGTGGATGAAAATACCATTTCTCAAATGTTCAATTTGTATGCCGAGACAAAATTTTGTTCTCCCAAGATCTTTCATTTCAAATTCTTTCATGAGATACTTAGCAGTATATTCAATTTCATTGGGAGTTCCAATTATATTCAAATCATCAACATATACTGCAATTGTAGTGAAAGGAAGATCCATTCATATTCCCATGGGGCCTCACAAATCCAGCCTGCTTAAATTCCTCATTGTTTTCTCCAATTTTGCAGGGCTTGCAAAGTGTAGGCACGACGACTCAATCTCTTTTCAGCTCGGGAGCACTATTGAAACACATGACTCAGTTTCCATCTCCAAATTGATTTTTAACTCTCAAATCGAGGCAGTAAATACTGAGACTCATCATGTCTACTCTCTATGGAAACAACATTAGTTGCCACTGATATAGGCTTATTTAGACGCCTCTGACAGTTTTGATCATTCTGATGACTCTTTTTTCTTAGATGACTTTCTGGGACATGCAACTGAAAATGATCGTCGTCTTCCCATTTCACTCCAAGAGGAAATTAGGAACTCTAAATTTAAGAGAGCGATCCGCCGCAAAGCTAATTTCGTTACCTCGGAAAATTGTTTGCCAACGGATAACCTGAATACGCAACTAAAGATTTACAGGAAAAAAAGGCGCCACAGCATGAGGAATGAGTCCCAGTCTAGAGATTTCCCTTGGATCTAGATTAGTTCTTTTGTTTTTCCTTTTCTGTATTGTTTTTTCTTTTATTTTCTTTCGTGCTTTGTACTACTTTCTTTTATCAATGAAATCCACTTTTTATTTGAAAAAAA